CAATGTATTTGGAAGATTTAAGGAGTTGAGGATTTTTTCCAAAATGGACTGTAAATAAAGATTAATGGAATGAAACCTAGCCAAAAAATATACATTGGAAAATTTCGAATTTGTAATCTCTTGTTATGTTAGAGACAGTAAGCTCAATTAGAAAAAGATAGAAGATACCTAAATTGGACAAAATCCTGGAGAAATGGATAAAACCCTGAAAGTGTTTTGTGAAACACAATCTAACATTGATCTTAATAAATGAAATTGACATGACCATTCTTCTTTAACCTACATGTCAGAGACTGAGTGCTTAGAAATCCCTGAAGAGAGCCCTTTGTAGTTTAACAAAAACGATAGTGTTTCTCAACCCCTTTAAAGTGGAGTATTTAAAATTTTTTGCAGTGACAAGAAATTTATATATAATTTAAAATAATTAAAATAATGAATATAAATCAATTAGGAAAATGCACAAGAGATTAGAATAGCACCACAAAAATGCTATTCAAATGGCATATATCAAATGGATATATATAGATATATCTATATCTATATCTATATTTTATGAAAAGATGCTTCCCTGGCAGGTATGGGTCAGTTGGTTGGGCATCATCCTAGGCACCAAAACGTTGCCAGTTTGGGCACATGCCGGGGTTGCAGGCTCAATTCCAGGTAGGGGGTGTGCAGGAGGCAGCAGATAGATGTTTCTCTCTCTCCCCTTCTCCAAATACATAAAATAAAAAGACAGACAATGTAAGTTTTTAGGAAAACATGAAGTAACTGAAATTCTTACGCATGACTCTGAGGATGTAAATTGGTATATTCACTTTGGGAAACTGGTTGAAGAAAGTGAACATATGCCCCACTCTGTGACCAGCAATTTCACTCTGAGGTATAGACCTGGCAGAAACGAGTCCATATGTCTATCAGAAGACATGTTCTAGATTGTTCATAGCAGCACTATTCATAATAGCTAAAATGTGGAAATTACCCAGATGCTCACCAACAGCAGCATGGATAAACACACTGTGGTTCACTCACATAGTGGAATACTACACAGCATTGAGAATGAATGATCTACATCTACACATAACAACAGGGATGAATCTAACAAACAGTGTTGATCAAAAAAGGCCACTTAGTGTATAATTGCATTTGTATAAAGCATAAAAACAGGGGAAACTAATCTACCATCAAAGAAATCAGGACAGTGGTTCTCCTTGTTGTGGGGAGGGGAGTGACTGGAAGGGAACAACAGGAGGGGGGAGCTTCTGAGACATTGGTCACATTGTTTCTTAATCTGGGTGCTAGTTATAATCTGTGTTCTCTTTATGAATACTTCTGTTGTACACTTGTGACTTGTGAACTTCTCAGTATGAGTGTTATATTTCAATTAAACATTTAAAAAATTTATTGACTGATTTGAGAGAGAGAGAGAGAGAGAGAGAGAGAGAGATATTTCAGAGATTTGTTGTTCCATTTATTGGTACATTCATTGGTTGATTATTGTATGCACCCTGACCGGAGATGGAACCGGCAACCTTGGCATATGGGGACTGGGTTCTAACAACTAAACTGCCCGGCCAGAACGAGTCCATTTTTAAAGTTTATAGAAATGGAAAAGTTCATCATCCATTCTTCATCAGATATTTGGTGCATGCCCACTACGTGTCAAGCACTGGGTGTCAGGCGCTGACATAATGCAGTGAATCTGAGCATCCCCGCCTCCCCTTCCTTCCTCGTGATTGGCTGACCTTCTGGCCAATGGCGGAAGAATACAGCGTTCTCTGACATCTCCAGCAGCATCAGAAGAGCTGCAGCTTCCTCAGTTTGGTTTGTAGGCGGCGCTGTGAGCACACCGACGCCTTGGTCAAGCGCAGACTTGCTCCCCACTCTGATTCTTTCTGATTCTGAGAAATGGAGAGAATATGCTCAGCACCTCCACCCTCTTTCCAAAATTCTTTTGTGGAATTTTCTACCTGTGCATCTCTCCCATGCTGCTCCGGATTTCCAGACCCCACCCTCTACCTACTCTGGCTTTTGGGTTGGTGTGACCCCCCTGCCCTAGTCATTGGGACCATTAGGGCAGTGCTTAGGAAATCTTGACAGCGGCCCAGGCAGGCAGCCAGCCCTTCTTTCTGTCGATTAATTGTTTACTGGGTTGTTTATTTATTCTGGTGTGGAGGCTAGCAGGGTGCGCGGGGGCGGCTGCCCCCAGGGATCCTGCTTCCTGTGGTTGGCTTGCTCAGCCGACACCCGCCCTCTTGCACACTGGAAATAGCTGAGAGGACCGACCTTGATAGTTTCATTAGGTCATTCAGGGAAACTCTGCCTGAGCCCCTGCCTTGTTCCTGGACCTATACTTAGGATATCAGCGGTGACTGAGAGTCCCAGCTCTGTCCTCATGAGGCTCACAGTCTGGTGGGAGAGAAAATTCACCACTAGACAGCAACAACCCAAGGTGGTCAGGGCTTGGATGGAGGACCCCAAGGGGCTGTTTGTAGGAGCCTAGACAGGGAGCCTGATCCAGCCTGGAAGATCAAGAAGGACCTCCTGGGAGACGGGACATCTGAGCTAGCATCTGAAAGAGGAGTTAGTCATCGGACAAGGACTGTCTTTTTAGCTGCCGTGCATGTCCCCAGTGCCTGTCATCACCTCCTTTGTTTAGCATTGGATTCTTTTATTTGTTCATTAACAAATATTCATTGTGGGTTGTCAGACTGAGGAATTAGCTAGAGTCCCTGATTTCAAAGGGTCACACATGAAAAGGTGACACCAATACAGAACTTCCAATTCTCATGGAGTGCTATGAAGAAGAATGAAGGTAGTAATCTATCCAGTTGGGCTTGAATCGCAAATCTGCTACTTACTACCTGTGTAACCTCTCTGTGCCACAGTTTAGTAGAATAACAACTATAGTCTACTCAAAAGGTGTTGTGGAGGATCAAGTGAGCTAATGTTGAAAGCTCTTTAGAATGTTGCCTCACATATAGTGCCTATTTTTATCAAAGAATGATGGATCAGGACAAATCTGGGAGGCCATCCTGGGGAAATGACTTGAAATTGAAACTTGAAGGCTAAGGCAGAGTTGATGGACTTCAAAAAGGGGAGGGGACATCTAGATCCTGAAAATGAGCCCAGTTTTCTCTTTTCTCTAGATGTCAATTCACAAATTTCCTAAGCTTGAAAAACCTGGAACACTGCACTGGAGCTATAAAGACATTAATTGGCAATAGGGGAATCCGGAGGCCCCTCCCTCCAGTCTTTCTGGTGTTCCCTCAAGTGATCTCAAAATCAATTACAAACCAGGGTTTGCAAAGGCAATATAAAGAAAATCTAGTTCACGCAGTTGGTTGGCCCACGGTGCTTAAAACAAACTAAGTCACTAACATCTAAAAACCAGATTTCATGCATTAAAAGTTCTAAATTTAAAAAAAAAGGTGGAAACAACCTTGATCAGTAATCAGAAAACTTTTATTTAATGAGCTGTTTTAAAACTTGAGTGCATGTGATTTTTTATCATCGCTTATAGAGCAAAGTATGATTTTCAGCACTTCATAAATATAACTCAATTCTCACATCAATTCTATAAGAAAGGTAAGATTATCATTCCATTTTATAGATTAAGAGACCGAGGAAAGAAACGCGAAACGCAAAATGCAGTAGGAAGCATAGCCTTTCTTCATGCATTCCATAAATACTGACTCAGCGCCCGAATGCTCATCTTCCGTGATCCATAATTCCGGAGGGGTCCCAGAGGAACCCCTCCACAGTTCAGAGGAACTCAAGTGTTACAGCAGGTAAATTCCCATAACTACTATTTCCCCTCCAGTCGCCCAAACTGACATTTGATTTGCAGTCAGTATGTACAATGCTGACTTGAAGGCCAGGGCGCAGTGAGGATCGGGCCCTCGCCCTTCTCCTGGATTTCTGGCCATCACAGAAACCAGAGCAGAACCAGTAGTACTAAAGCGAGCGTTGTCTGTAGGTTTCCTTCACTGCCAGGGAAAAGAGCACGCGCTCTCCAGCCCCGCCCCTTCTCCAGCAATGACGAATTGCGGGGCTCGGATTGGGCTGAGGCGGGCCACGCCTCCACGTGTTCCCCAGTCAACATCTTTGCTGGGTGCGTTCCCTCCTCCTTAGCCCCACCTCACCGCCCCACGTTACGTCTTTTCCCTCTCTCCTCCACGGTTATCCCAGGGGCTACAGCTCGCGCGGCAAACCCACCTCCCCTTGCCTCCCATTGGCTAGTCAGGTCCCGCGCGAGCGGAATCACCCCCGCCCACGCAGAACCGGCCATGCCTCACCACCCCTCCCGCTTTTTCCAAAAGCCAGCGCGAGGAGGGGGATCGACTGCTTCTGACGCGCGCGCCTCCCGCCGGCCACTCCCTCTACCTCGCGCCAGTAGCTGCGGCGGCTGGCAGCCCCTGCTGCGCACGCGCACTTGCCCACCCCACTCTGTACGGTTGCGAGTCGCCTCGCGCTCTGTCTCGCGCCGCAGCCGCTGCAGTAGCGGCATTTTCTTGGGGCGCACGCGCACTGCACCCTCCACGGCGGTTCCCAGCACCAGGCCGTGACGGTGGCAGGGAGCCCCTCGGGAGTGCACGCGCTCTCGCATCTCACCCTACTCCGCGCCGGCTGTCCCCTCGCAGCGCGCTCCCAGGGGCCGTTATCCTGCAACGGTCTCAGCGCCACGCACGCGCAGTAGCAGTCGGGGGGGGGGGCGCGTGCGAGGGAGCGCCGGCCGCAGGAAAGAGGCGCCGCTGCCGCCATTGCGAAGGAGGGAGGGAGGGAGCGAGCGAGCGAGGCTGGTCCGCCCTCCCCCTGGTTCCCGCCCCTCCCCCTTCCCCTCCCCGCCCCCCCGGCCCCGAGGGAGAGCCGCGGCGCGGCGGGAGGAGGAGGAGGCGGAGGAGGGAGTCCGTGAGGGAGGGTCCACCCGGCCCCCCGCCGCCGAAGCCGCCGCCGCCGCCTGAGCCACCGCTAGACGAGAAGCAGCAGAACATGGCGCCGGGGCCGCCGTCGCCGCTGCCGGGATCCCGGAGGCCGGAGCCGCGCTGAGGGCGCCCAGCTGGTGAGTGCGCGAGCTCGCGGGCCCCGGCGGCGAGGCCGGGCGCCGCCCCGCTGCGGGGTCCTGGGGGAGGCGGGGACCGCGGGGCCTGGAGCCCGTGAACAATAGAGGAGCTGGAGGGGGAGGGGAGGGAGCGGCCCCCCAGCCCCCGGGCTCCGCGGGCCCCGCAGCTTCGTGCTGCGGCCCGGCTCACGGGGCCCGCCGGCCCTTCGGACATGCCCCGGACTGCCCGGGCTCTGCTGTCCTCGCGTCTGCACCCACCCTCCGATTGAGATCTCGGTATATGCCTCGCCACTCCCCCCTGCCCCCCATTCAGCCACTGCTCCCAATTCTGCGCCCCCCCCCTTCCGCCTTTGCCCCTCCTGGACTCTGCAGTGCTCATGGGACCCACTTCCTCAGTGACCCTTCTGCATCCCTTAAGCCTGGACCCCCACTTTGAGATTCCTGATCTCTCCGCCTCTTCTCAGATTCCGTTCTTACCACTCTACGTATTTGACCCCTTCTTTGACCTGTCTACTCTCGCTCCTCTCAGAATCTGCTGCATCCCCAGGAGCTGTCCCTCTAGGACCTGTGGTTCCATCTCCTTTGGAGATCCTTCTGAGACCCTGTTCATCTCGCTCTGCTGCCCCCTGGTCTTCTCCTTGGACTTCATTTCTCCTCCCTCTTGGGCCCTACTGTCCGCTCACAGCACCTGCTGCACCCCAGGGATGCCCCCGGGCTCTCTGACCCTTCCATATCTTAGTTCTGTTCTCTGCTCCCTCATGTTGTCTCCTCTCCTTCTCACATCTTCTCTTTGCCATTCAGACCCTTTCCTCTTTTCCTGACCTTTCTGCCCCCCGGTTCTGCCCGTTGCCCGATCTCCGCTCTTTCTATGCCCCCTAAACTGCTTGCTTTTTCAACTGACTCTGCCTTTCTTGAAGCAGCCTCTTCCCCATCTCTGACCCTGCATCCCTCTCATTTCTGCCATTCACTTCTCTGCCTTCTCTCCCTAACCCAGCCCTTCCGCAGCCTCAGTGCTGCCCGGATATAGTCTGCCCCAGTATTCCTGAGATTTTCCCTCCCCACCTCCTCATTGGCACTCTTGAGCTATTCCATTCATTTGCTCCCTCTTCCTTTGACCTGTCTCCCTTTCAGTTCTTCTCTTCTTTAGACCTGCTTCCAGTCTTCTCTTTGCTCAAATCCTGTCATCCCCATTTTGGCCCTTTACCTCATTAAACCATCCATAACTTTGACCTATCACCCTCTTCCCTTCCCATTTTTCCTCTTACAAACCTGCACCCAAATCCTTTCTGCACCTGCTCTTTCATTTGTTCATTTCTGCTCCATCCTCTCTTATCTCTCCCTCCCAGCTCTGCCCCTTTTGGAGCTGTCCACTTGCTCACCTAATTTTTTTTTTTGGACCCATTTCAATTCCTACTGCTGTCCCTTCTTGGAGTGGTCCTCTTGAATCCTGGTCTTCTAACTACCTCCCACTTCTGTTGCCTCTCAATTCTAAGATTACCACCTGACCTTTCCCCCCACCATTTTGATTCAGCTCTCAACCTCCACTTTCTCCTTTCTTGTGTTTGTCCTTCCCACTTTGCCCTGCCTCATACCTTCTTTTTGAGTCCTCCTTCTCCCAGTTCTGCCCAATATATTAGAGATGTCTTTTCAACCATTCCTTTCTATCATTGCCTGTCTCCCCACCTCAAACCCCCTTCTTGGAGCTTCCTGAGTTTTTGGATGGATTCTTCCTCCCTTTTGGAAACTCCTCTCCCAGTTCTGTTCCTCATTGACTTCTTTTCCTCCCTCGCTTTTTCTTTCCCCTTGTATCCTGGCAGGCTCTTTATCTTCCTATTTAGTTTCTGTTAGGCTTGCTTCTCTCAGCTCCCCTCCTTCCTTGACCCACCCATTCCCTACTGAGTGTCCCCCCTCTTCAGGCAAACCTTTTTCTAGTCTGCGTCCTCAGCTTTGGAGGAGAAGGGGCTAGGTTGGGCCTAGGGTTTTCTAGGCTCTGATTTAAACTGCAGATTCCCTTGGCTTCCTGATCCTGAGGGTTTTACCTTGAGGAATCTTGTGAGATCTAGGTAAATAGGTGGGGGCTGGTTGATTGGTACTGCTCTCTGGAGTCTGGGAGTGTCCCCCCCATCTCTTTTTACCAAGGTTAGTGGTAGGGGGGTAGATCTCTTTCCACTGCCCCATTTTCTTTCCCTTTCCCATCTTGCTCCCTAGCCCCTTCAGTTCCCTGGGTTTGCTGCTTTGTGTCCTTCAGAAAAGGAGAGTGCAGCTGCTCACAGGTCTTGCTTCTCTTTCTCCCTTTCCCTCCCCTCTTCTCTGAGCTATTGTAAAGAGACAGTAGTACCCTCTCCCCCTTCCACCTCCAAGCCAGCACCCCTTGAGAGAACATAGGAGTGGGCTTTTTTTCCCCAGCTGACAAATCATATTTTTGTTTTACCCTTGGCTAGGGAAATGCCATTTCTCAAGTTCTCCCCAATCTCACCAAGGGTTATGGACACACTTGCTATTTACTGCTCTGGGTCTGCAGAGGATTCTTGCTTTCTTTAATGGTCTCTAGTTTGCAGTCTAGCCTTTGGGAGGGGTGGGAGAGAGTGGGCTTATTTCTTTTTCACCTCTGCCCCAGGAAGGCTTCAGCTTCCTGGTCTTCAAAATAGTGAGGGCCTGGGTTTGGAAAGCTCTTTGCTGTTGTTGAAAGAGAGTGCCAAGTGTCACTCAGATTTCTGCCCCCAGGTATTGCAAGCACTCCTACCAACAGAAGCTGAATGCTTCTGGGCAGATCCATGCTGGTATACCAGTTATAGGGTGGGCCCAGACATACCCCAAGCCATTTGAGTGACCTGATTTGATAGTGAGAAAGGGGTGCCAGAAACTGGCTGCTTTGATTGGATTTTTTGTCTTAACTACCTGGGAAATTAGTTTTGCTACCTTTCCTTGAGCTGTTTTCTTCAGTGATCTTATGTTGGGGTGGGGTTTAGGAAATTCATTCTGAGGAAGAGGTGGTTTTTACAGAAAAGCCATCCAACTGTTGTCCTTCCTTAACTTAGGAGAGGGAACTTTTTGCATGTTTTAGGTTTATTTATTTTATTTCTTAAGTAAATCAATAGCCTGATCATCCTCCCCCCCCCCCCCAGGAATTGGCCTGGGGCAAGTGCATATTAAAACATCCATCCAGCTGTGAAGGAGCATTTACTGGAAGGATTTATTTCTTCACTGAACTTCGATCAAACTTTATTTCAGCACTTACTTAAAAATAGTTCTATGTGAACACATTTGAAATAAAAAACATTCACTGTCATCTACAGAATTGGACCATTGACTCATCACATGTTAGGGCATTTATATGTGAGACTAAGCAGGGCTGGGTAGTAGCTCCATATGGGTCTTTTAGTTTCTAACTTCTTAGACTTTAAATTTTCTGACAAGTAGAGGCTGGTAATTGTAATTGTGTATGGCATGTGTCTTCACCATTATTAACTTAAAGAATTTTGATTCATTTTTGCTGGTTTCTGTTCATTTCTGAATTTTGGCCATATGAATCATGATTAATTCTCTGAATTTTAGAATTCATGTTCCCCATGTTGGTATAAGTAGTTTCTTTAAAAAAATTCTTAATGTGGAAGTGGCAGTTAATTAAGAATAAAAACAACTGTATATGCAGTACTGGTTAAATTTGTGTTCCAGAGTTTTAACATCACTGGCAGGACAAAAAGTTTCTGCATGCCCAAAGCCTAAGTTTACATAATAGGAAGAGATGAGACAGAAGAACAAAGAGCTGATTTTTCTTCTAACTGGTAACTGATGTTCTAAAGACTGTCAGATTTCTCTGATGGTAGCAGAGGCTCTAACCCCAGTATCAACATTTGCTTTCGCGATGGAATTGGGTGCCACAGAAATCCCAGGAGGTAGCCTTAGCCTTCTGAAACAGTTACTGTGCTAGTTAGGAGTAGGATGTGGAGCAGGAGATGGTGGTAGATGACTGTTTTCAACCTAGTGACATGTCTTAAAGGGCTCTTGCCCTGCCTAGAAAATCTTTGTAATACTGCCCTGATCAAAGTTCCGCTCTTTTTTTTCTGGTATGTCCCTACTCCCTTACACATCTCCCCTTTTTTTCTTGGTATGATGTATTTTTTTGGCATGATGTATTTTTCTTGACATGATAACATCTAGGACAATAAGAAAGAAAAAAAAATTCACCCCTTTTCATACTGGACACATGGAAGAAGTTTCCCGCATGCAGATCCATGGTCCTGCTGGTGGCTTTCGACAAAGGACAGTTTGGGAGGAGTGAGAGTTGCATAGGTGACCGTAAACCACAGCTTCATAGGTATTTAGTCAGTCTGTACAAGATGGGAAAACATACCAGGTCAATACATTTGGAGATTGAAAAGGTGTGAGTAGTTTTCCTTCTCTAGTCTCCTCTGCTTTTCTGTCCTAGGTCTGTTGTAGGGTTCTGAGAGGTGTTAGGCCACTTCAGGACCTTCCTGTGATCTGCTCTACGTATTGTCATTCACTGCTTGGTGGTCTAACAGTCTTAATTTACCCTGTCAGTGGGACATTTTATGGATTATCTAGTCTAGTTGTTTAAATTACCTTTTCCACACTATATAAAATAGATAAACTTGGAGAGTCTCTGCAGGAAATGGGAAGAAGTTGACTAACAGAAATCCCTTGGGTTTGGAGCAACACAGTATAAAAATCAGTGCTTGGTCTGGCCTCCTCATTTACAGATGGGTTAATGGAAGGTTTGCAAAAGGGGCATGGGGACAGACTTCTTGTCATAGTTGAAAGAGTACTGGACATACAAGTAGGAGGTCTTCTGGTCTAGGCCTTAACCCAGTTAGTTGGAACGTTGGACAAATCACTTAACCTCTTTGACTTCATATTTCCTAATCTGAAGTATAGTGTGCTGTCAAGCTGATTGTAGATTCTTATTGTTCTGGGTCACACACAAAGTTAGAGCTGGGACTGACTCCTGGTGCTATTCTAACTACCTCCCTCCCAAATTA